GCGGCGGGGGCAGGGGGAGAGATGCCTCCTGAGTTTTCTCCTTGGAGCAGCAGCCTCCTCCTCCCGCCTTCCTTCAGGTGACCTCGCCTTTGCTGACTGACAGGTGCTCCTCCCTGCTGACAGTGTGTTCCTGCAGCTGTTGACCAATTTCCCAGGGGTTTTCAGGGCTGTTGCAGAGGGTCTATGTTAACAGAGCTGCTAAACACAGCTGTTTCGATGCCTACATTTAAAGCTGGTAAAATAAATTTTTGTTTCCATCAGAACCGCTTTGAGGGCCTGCAGGTGGGATTCTAGCTGGTGGGGTTTGGGTGGTAACCAGAGGCCAGTGGGTGCTCAGAGCCTGTCCCTCAGCTCGCCCCTTGGGCCACGCGGCTCTCATGGCCACTCAGCATTGCTGAACGCTCTTTAGTGCAGAGCCAGGCGCTGTCTGAGCCTGTGTTCACCATGAGCCATTAGTGAGAACAGGAAGCGCAAGAAACACTGAAAATAAATACACATTAGCAAGCAGTACATTCGCCTGGAAATTCTCCCTAGCAGCTCCGATTTCTTGTATTGCAGGTCACCTGTTTCTCTGATATTTAAAATATGAATTAAGCCCTGGCCAGTGTGGCTCAGTTGGTTGGGCGTCATCTCATGCACCGAGAGGTTGATGGTTTGATTCCCCGTCAGGGCACATGCCTGGGTCGCAGGTTTAATCCCCAGTAGGGGGCACACAGGAAGCAGCCAATGATGTTTCTTTGCCTCTCTCTCTCTCTCTCTCTCTCTCTCCCTCCCTCTCTCTTCCTCTCTCTTTAAAAATCAATAAAAATATTTTATTACAAATATATATAAATTAAAAAAATAAGTGGGTACAGGGGATAAATGGGAAAGGGGATATCTGTAATACTTTCAACAATAAAGATAAATTTAAAAACAATAATAATGAAAATTATATCAAAGGTTTGTAACATAATGAGAATAAAGATAACCCAGTTATAATATATATGGAGAAGTACTTACATGTATCAGCCTGTGGAATTCTGTCTCATCATTTGGAAACAAATTTAGAGGAAAAGCAAAGGTGGGAAAAAAGAGGGAGTGAAAGAAGGAAGGGAAATAGCAAATCTGTTTTTCTTTAGCCCCAATGCTTTATAGTTTTAACAAATAAAAATTTAAATTATTGAGGTATTTTTTTAAGTTAGCAACTAACATGCTCTAAAACAGCGGTTCTCAACCTGTGGGTCGCGACCCCTTTGGGGGTCGAACAACACTTTCACAGGGGTTGCCTAAGACCATCGGAAAACACATGTATAATTACATATTGTTTTTGTGATTAATCACTATGCTTTAATTATGTTCAATTTGTAACAATGAAATTGGGAGTCACCACAACATGAGGAACTGTATTAAAGGGTCGTGGCATTAGGAAGGTTGAGAACCACTGCTCTAAAGTCTTTTGATGGAAAGGGCTGCAGCTTACTTATTGTCTTCATAGTAGAGAAACAAAAATAAAGACACGTACGGCAGCCTGCTGGTGATACAAGCTGTGTGTGTATGTACAGACACATACATATGCTTCTCTAATTATCCTCTAAATATTTCATTCTTCCTAGACTCAATCACAAAATAACTCCTACACCTAGATTTATAAGAATATGTTTACAGTTTTGTGTAGTTTTTATATCACAGTGACTTAGTTTTCTAAAGGAGTTTTCTATAATGAATCATTTATCAGAAATGAATTGGTGTGATTCGAGGTGGTGTCTCCACCGCCCCTCCCTGTGGCATCTGTGTGGGTCTGTCCACTCAGCCTGCTTATTCCGATGCCACTGTCTTCAAGTGCAAACCTCCCTGAGACTCACTGCCCCAATGTAGGAATTTTGTTTCATTATGAATATCAACCCCATTTCTCTACCCTTTATTTTTCTCTAGAGTGACCCACATCTGGTGGAAGAGACAAAAATGTAGCTATCGAATCCAATCAAGTGTTTCTCTCTCTCAAATTACCAACAACATCCCGTCAAGAAAGGTTCTGGTGGGTCCCACCTCCGTATGGCTCCCCGAGGAGACACGTAAAGGTAAGGCCCCGTGTCCTGCTCCAGGCTTACATGCAGACACATGTCTGGTCTGTTTACCTTGAAATATCGTACTTTGAAAAAACGTAAAGGTGGGTTTGCAAATGGTGGGTTTTTATTTGCCAAAGAGCACAATACCCCTTAGTTTTAATAAATAAACTCAACATAAAGTCAGATTTTGTAATCCATTTCTAAACACAGACTCAGGTAGCCTTCTGTTATCCAATGGCGTCACCCAGAAATAACTTCACAGGAAGCCTTAGGGGTAGGTCTGTTCACCCTCTGGCCATTGTACAGAAGCCCCTCTAAAATCAGGTCTCTGTTTCTACACTTAGTTCTCTTTAGGGAACATGTTATCGTTAAGGAAACCCATCAGTCTTTAATTAGGGCTGTGTTTGCATAGCATAAGTCTTCACAGGCTGCTGTCAGTCACTGTTGATAAACCTCCCTTGGTGCCACTGTAGAACTTGGGAGCTGTGCTCCTTGCAAAACTTCAGGTTATTAAGGTGTTGGTTGAAGAATTGTTTAAGTTGTAGTAAAACATGTATAACACAAAATATACCATTTTAATCATTTTTATGTGTACAGTCCAGTAGTAGCTGTGTGACCATCACCAACATCTATCTCTAGAACTTTCTTATCTTCCAAAATGTCATTCTTCCCCATTAAGCAGTCACTCCATATTGCCTACTCCTCCATATTCTGGCAGCCTCCATTCTACTTTCTTTCTCCATGAATCTGACAATTCTAGGGACTTTATGTGAGTGGAATCATACAGTATTTGTGTTTTTGTGATTGCCTTATTTCACTTAGTATATCTTCAGGGTTCACCCATGTTATTGCATGTGTCAGCATGTCCTTCCTTTTAAAGGCTGATAGCATTCCATTGCCTGGATGGACCATATTTTGTTTGTCTAGTCATCTGTCCATGCACACTTGGGTTGCTTCCACCTAATAGCTATTTAGAATCACACTGCTGTGAACATGATGTACGGATACCTGTTTTCAGTTTGAGTCCCTGCTTTCAGGACTGAGTATATATCTAGAAGTGGAATTGCTTGATCATGTGGTAATTCTATTGTTAATTTTTTAAGGAACTGCCATACTGTTTTCCATAGTGGCTGTACCATTTTACATTTTCACCAACAGTGTACAAGGCTTCCAATTTCTTCACATCCTCACCAACACTTGTTGTTTTCTGTTTTGTTTTGCATTTAATAGCTATCCTAATGGGTGTAAATTGGTACCTCACATGGTTTTGATTTGCATTTCCCTGATGATTCGTGATGTTGAACATCTTTTCTTTCACATGCTTTTTGGCCATTTCTGTGTCTTCTTTGGATAACTTTGTGCTCAAGTCCTTTGCCTTAATTGAGTTGTTTTATTGTTGTTGTTGAGCTGTAGGGTTTTTATATATATACTGCATATTAACCCCTCATCAGATATATGATTTATAAGTATTTTCTCCCATTGCATGATTTGCCTTTTCATTCAATGGTAGTGTCCACTGATGCACAAAATTGTTAATTTTGACGCAGTCCAGTGGGTCTAGTTTTATTTTGTTGTCTGTGCTTTTGGTGTCACATTCAACAAATCGCTGCCCAGTCCAGTGCCATGAAGATTCTCCTCTATATTTTCTTGTAAGAGTTTTATAATTTTAGCTTTCACATTATGGTGTGATCTATTTTGAGTTAATTATTAGCTGTTATATTTATACTAGAGACCCGGTGCATGAATTCGTGCATGGGTGGGGTCCCTCGGCATGGCCTGCAGGGATTGAGCCGAAACCGCAGCCTGCCACTCCTGCCTCTGCTCCTGCTCATCCCGGCCCCACTGCGCCTGCCTGATCAGGAGAGGCTTGCTCCGCCATAGTGGTGCTCGCCAGCTGTGAGTCCTGTGTCTGGCGACCGTCCCAAGGAGCGGGGGGAGGGGGGGGGCGCTGCCGGGATGCGATCGGCCCTCCCGCAGGTGGTAGGACACCCTTGCCAGCCTGGGATCTGGATCTGTCCCCCTGATGTTCACGCTGGTTGTCGGGAGCCACTTGGCGGCCACGTTTATATTGTTTCTTCCTTGCGGAGCATCTAGGGAGGGGAAGCAGCCGTGGTGCCCGAGGCCAACTTCCAGGAGGCCAGTGGCACTGTTGGGATCGTGCCGGTGGCGCCAGTCCATCAGTGCCTGACCCATTCTCCGGAGATTGGACCTGCAGGACTACTGAGGGAGTGAGTGGCTGCCACCGGGACGGGTCAGTCAGCTGAGCGGCACTCCTGCTGTGGGGGCACACTGACCACCAGGGGACAGCTCCTGCATTGAGCGTCTGCCCCCTGGTGGTCAGTGCGCATCATAGCAACTGGGTCATTCCACCATTCGGTCACTTTGCATATTACGCTTTTATTATATAGGATTAGAGGCCTGGTGTACAAATTTGTGCACCAGTGGGGTTCCTCGGCCTGGCCTGCAGGATCGGGCTGAAACTGGCTCTCTGACATCCCCCGAGGGGTCCCGGATTGCAAGAGGGCACAGGCCAGGACGAGGAACCCACCAGTGCACGATCGGGGCCAGGGAGGGACACGGGAGGTTGGCCAGTCAGGGAGGGATCATGGGAAGGCTCCAGGGAATGTCTGGCCTGTCTCGCCCAGTCCCGATCAGCCAGACTCCAGCATCAAGCTAACCTACTGGTCGGAGCGTCTGCCCCCTGGAGATCAGTGCACGTCAGCTACTGGTCGACGGGTCATATGTCTGCCCCCTGGTGGTCATTGCACGACATAGCGAGCAGTTGAGCAGCCTTAGCATATCATTAGCATATTATGCTTTGATTGGTTGAACGGCCAACTGGTTGACTGGACACTTAGCGTATTAGGCTTTTATTATATAGGAGAATTAATGTATATATACTAGAGGCCCAATGCATGAAGATTCATGCAAGAATAGGTCTTCCTTCCCCTGGCTGCTGGCACCAGCTTCCCGCCGGCACCCAGGACCCGGGCCTTCACTCTGGCCGCCACCTTCCGCCTTCGCTCCAGGTCGGAGCCGCCTTCCGCTTTCGCTCTGGGCTGGAGCCACCTCCTGCCAACTCCAGCCAGCTCTGTGGTTGCCACCAGAGGCCAGCCCTCAGCGACCTGCTGGAACTTGCAGGAAGCCAAGCATCCTGCCCAAAGGAAGCCAAGCGTTAAGCCCAAAGGAAGCCAAGTGTCCCGCCAGCTCCGTGGCTCCGGCCGGCACCACCATCTTTGTGGCTATGGGCACTGCCATCTTTGTGGCTATGGGTGCCACCATCTTTGTCATAGAGTGATGGTTAATTTATATATCACTCTTTTATTAGATAGGATAGACTAGAGGCCTGGTGCACAAAAATTCATGCACTTGGCGGGGGGGGGGTGTCCCTCAGTCCAGCCTGTGCCCTCTCACAGTCTGGGACCCCTCGGGGGGGGATTGGGCCTAAGCTGGCAGTCAGACATCCCTCTGGCAGCCCGGATCCCTCAGGGGATGTCCAACTAATGGCTTAGGCCCGTGGGCCTAAGCCATTAGTCGGACATCCTTAGCGCTGCCACGGAGGCAGGAGAGGCTTCCGCAACTGCCACTGCACTGGCCAGCCATGAGCAGGCTTCTGGCTGAGAGGTGCTCCCTCTGTGGAAGTGCACTGACCACCAGGGGGCAGCTCCTGCATTCAGTGTCTGTCCCCTGGTGGTCAGTGCATGTCATAGCGACTGATCATTCCGCCTTTAGGGTCAATTTGCATATTACCCTTTTATTGTATAGGATGATGTAACTTAAGGGTCAAACTTCATTCTTTGTATGTAGACACCCAGTTTTCTCAACACCATTTGTTGAAAAGACTGTCCTTTCCCTATTGAATGGTCTTGGTGCCCTTATTGAAAATCATTGGGCTAGATATGCAAGGGTTTATTTGTAGGCTTTCTGTTCCATTGCTCTGTGGGTCTGTTTTTATGCCAGTGCCACACAATTCTGATTACCATAGCCTTGTAGTAAGTTTCAAACCCAGGAAGTATAAAACTTCCAACTTTGCTCTTACTCTTCAAGATTGTTTTACCTTTTGGGGACCGTCCCTTGAAATTCCATATGAATTTTAGGATGGATCTTTCTGTTTCCACAAAATTGACATTGGGATTTTGATGAGGATTGCATTGAATCTATAGATTGCATGGCAGCGTTTCTTAATGAAATCGAAATAGAGGATTTTATACTTTATAGTAGTAAATTTCCCTATCCAATTTGAACATGGACCATACTTAACTAATTCTGAAAATTTTTCAGTTTGAAAGAAAATCAGATTTTTTTAATGAATTTTTCTGAGCCTGGTCTGGTGAACAATAAGTAATTATATAAGAATGTTAAATACAGAGTTTTATGAAATCTGCCCTGAGGATGAAGATACAGTTTCTTTTTAATTTCTTAAAACTCAGCCTTTCGAAGGCTTCTCATCTCCAGAAGTAATTCCTTAGTAGAAAGCCCAGGTGTCAGGACTGTTTCACATGATCTCTGCCATCAAGTGTAAGCTTCTTTGGCATTTAGGAGTTCGTTGCTCTTAATGAGTAACTAGGATACAAATACTTCATGTGAGGCATCCCCCAAGACCGCAGTCAGCACGAATGACCAGGGAGGCACAGGACTGTGTCGTGTGGGTATAATGAGAGCTATCGGTGACTGCACCCTGCCACATGCACCAGCTCCAGGCATGCACTGCCGTCCCCAAACCTGTGAGTCTGAGTGACACCTCTTCCTACTTTAGGGGTCGGTCACGGGAAGATTGGAGGATTTAAGTGACTGTCCTAAGAAGACGTCGTGATAAGTAGCCAGGACAGTACCTGGAGCAGACTGGGGTGGTCGACAGCAGGACAGAAATGAACTTTATTTAGGGTCCAAATTTGACACCACCTACTAATTCCAAGTAGTCTTCAGATTTTAGTTGTTAATCCAATCTGTTTCCAAGCTGCATATAAAGATTCAGAAGTTACCATTCGAATAAGATATGACAAAAATTACAC